TATTCTTGTTTGTCGTCTGTTATTTATGCATCATGAATTTTTATTTTCGATCTATTATTCTTGTCTTGATAAGAATGTTGAATTGATATTTAATTTGATATTAATAATTAATTTACGATATTCTAGTAACATTTCGTATCTCGATGAGATACTTTATCTGATATTAATATCAAGACAAATAGAAGTGAAAACATATCTCTTTCATGCAATAGCAAATTCAGAAAATCAACGAGGTGATGACAGTTTATCGGAGCGAATGATGTTTATGATAAAAGAAAACAGTTTTTCAAGTCCATTTGAGATAACTTAACCTTTTTTTCATATCTCCTACGGAAAAATAGAAGAAAAAATTTCACTAGAAGTTAGCAACCGTCGCTTTGTTACTGCCTAAATATGTCGCTGCTTTCATGTTGTTCTATTGATTTTTCTTTCATGTGCATTATCTATGGAAGTTTCCATCTCATGGTTGGCTTATTCCTCTTTTCTTGTTATCCTATACATAACTATTCAGTCGTTGCAAAGAAACATATCCAGAAATAAATAACAAGTGGAATGAAGACTTTACATAATTACTGTGAAATCTGTAGATTATTGCAAAGAGATGTATATTCTCTAATCTATATAATTATTTGAAATGAATTTATGTTCAAACTATTAATTATAAAAGTTCAGTTCATATTAATTAAATTAGTTAATTATTTATAAAGAGTAATGAAATTCATTTCAAAAGAACTAGTTTATTTCTTTTTCTAATTAAATTTTAATTATCAATCAAATAATATAGTTTTTAAAAGTTGGGCAATAAAAATTAGTCCTATTATTTTTGTCGAGCAAATACACCAATACGATCATTCATAGCAACAAAAATATCTCCTTTTTTGTTAACTGCTAATGATTCAGGATATTCAATTCCACTTGTAATTATTTGTTGAAATTGTCCATTTTCATTAAAAATTACTAAACGATCATTATGTGAATCAGCAATTAATAAATGAGATGTATTTGGATATACAGTTATACCACGAGGACTTGAAAGTGCTTGAGGAAAATTCGGTGATGTTTCACTACCAAAACGTTGAACAAATGTTCCATCAAGTGTAAATTTATGAACACATGAACCTAAATAATAATAACAAATAAATATACAAAAAAAATTTCATTCATTCATTCATTAATTAATTAAATATAACCTTGTGGATCTGTTATATAAATATGTTCATTTGTTGATACACAATAAGCAAGTGAACTAAATAAATTTTTATTACCAAAAAATCGTACAATATTTCCAGTTTTTGGATCATAAACTTTAACTAATCGATTAGTTTGATCACATACATAAATTAAATCATTTTTATCAACACAAATACCTTGATAATTTGTTAAACCAGCATCAATATCATCACAAGCTATTGTACGTATTAAACGAAGATCTTTATTTAATATTAATACTTGAAATTCATCACTCATTACAACTTGATCATTATTCATTATAGCTAAACCATTTTTACATCCATAATTACTTATTATTTTAGCTAATTTATTATCTTCTGTAAATGCAACAACACGTTCATTTTTTGAATCAGCAATAAATAATAAAGAATCTGATGTTCGATAAGCTATACCACGTGGTTTATTAATAAATGATTTTCCAAATTCAAGTGAACCAAGTGAATCAATTGATGTAAATCGTAATTGAGATGAACTCGACATCATTTAATTAAAAATTTTTTTTTTTAATAATATTACAATTATTATGTATGTGAAATATCAAAGTTTCGATGAAGAAAAAGAAAATACAAAGACACTATGATAATCAGAAAACTTAAGAATAAATGTTATTGTTAGTTCTGTTGGCGACTCGATATAATAGAAGTAGTTGAAAGAATTCTATCTATCTGGTTCTAATGTATTATTCTTCAATTAACTAGTACATGCAAGGCATGTGGCATTTGTCTCTTATACATATAAAAGGTTCTCAAGGAAAAGTCTCTTGTGATAAATTAGTCATAAATAGATTTTTCTTACAGAGAAAAATGTCGTTCTGTCTACATGAAGCATCCATAAAGAATACATTGGATTAGATATTGATAAGGCTATTAAATTTTCGTTTGTAATTTAGAATACAAAACGAAACAATGTGCTATTTATATATACGAATACAATAAGCTAAAGAAAAAGAAAAACTTCATCAATCTACACATATAATTTCATATTATATCTTAAGGAAATATATCCATTCTGTTGACAATTATGCTGATAGATATAAGAATAAACTGATATGACAACAGTTTGAATAAAAGAAAATATTTTTCATACGAATAATTAGATATAGGATGGGCTATGAATAACACTACCATAAAAAAATTAAATATCTCTACGTCGATTCAATCAAATGAGCTGTTTCTTTTGGTTAATGGTAAAAGTTTATTCAAAGTTTTTTTTTTTCATATGGGTAAAACAAGCAAATACTACTATTAAGTTTTATTATTATTAGCATCCTGAAAGCAATTTTACCTGTTATCATCAAGTAAGAAAAAGTTGTTAGCGCAATCCCTAGGGAAATTAAAATGTGAAATACAATGTAGTTGTTATTAGTAATCACACGAGTATTGTTTTCTTCGATATACTTTGGGATCCATTTAGTCATCATTGTTTACTTAATCCTCTAGAATTACAATAAGGAAGCAGTTGATATATTCTCATGAGATTCTAATGATATATAATCGATAATCATGTATCAAAAGATCTGTCAGAATCTGTGATGGGTATGGAATTTCTCTTCCACAGTCTGTAGGGAGAGAGCGGTAGGTGGGCGTAATTTCTATCCATATACACTTCATCACTCCTTTTAGATCGTGTTTCACAAAATACATATAACACATTCATCTATGGTAATGATAAGAAAAAACCCACATAAACTTTGCTAATGATACTGTATTGATGCACTTAGAGCAAATTATCAGAAACACAGTTTGTTCAAAAAGTCAAGAATTACGAAATTTCGAAGTTCCAAACATGGAACACTGGTTTTTTTTGTTGCTCAAAAAGGCGCAATTGTGTGTTTTACTAATATGGCACGAATTTCAGCTTGTAAATTGACTACTAGTTTTGAAAACTTACTGTTTGTGCATTAACATAGTACCATTCATTAAGTGTGTTTTGATTTCCTATTATTATTCCATTCGATAAAAGCTAAAAACTATGTATGAAATGCATCATATGTCTTTTGCTTACTTGACAATGGGTGAAATTTCTTCACTAAGTCCATAAATATGACCTGAGAGAAGTGTCTGTTTACTTTATGCGTGTAAATGAAATGCTTCTACCATTAAACAAAAAATTCAGCTCATTCGAGCGGACCGAAGTGAAAATGATTCAATTTTTTATCGCAGTGCTATTTATGGTCCACACTGTATGTAGAATGTACTCATGGATGTCAACAATGGCGGACGAGAATTTTTTCGTTCGGAGAAAAACATTTTATGAATAAAAATTTCTTATAAATTCCAGCAGATTCTACACTAGAGGTCGCCGGAAGCAAAATTTTGGACTCGGAAATGACTGATCAAACTTTTTGGGATCTGAACCTAAACTGCATTTCTAATTTCAACGATTTTTTTTCATCTAACGAGGAAAGTCCTTCAGCTGATAAATCACTTTTGTGTCAAGACTATGTGCATTATGTAGATCCCAATGAGGTATGTATACCTTGAAAATATTTCATGCTCTTAGCTTATTACTGCCGTGATACTGCACTTTTACGGTATTTTTTAAATCAATGCTGGGATCCAGAAAAACTGATTTTCGAATTTCAACTTGACACTTTGCATAGAGACAGGCCTTAACGAGAATAGTATAAGTTCCAAATTTTCGTTTTTCCTATCCTAAGATACAACGATTATAAGGTGTGTCGTTCTGATCGCTCATATAAACCAACAGATTTCATGTTCTTATTTCAGAATTAAAGCAAATTAAAAGACTTCAAAATTTCACAATAAACGACTCTTATTAAGGCCTATCTCTATGCAAAGTTTCAAGTTGAAATTGAAAAATGAGTTTTCCTAATGTTCGTGATGGAGACCATGACGTTCATTAAAAAATACTGTAAAAATGCAATATCTCCGCAGTAATAAGCTAAGGACATGAACACTTTTCAAGATATTCATAGCTCATTTGGATCTACATAATGTCGACTTAAAAACGAATCTATTAGTTGAAGGGTTTCCTTCGTAATCTAATAATTGCTCCGAAGATACAAGATACTTTTTATCAATTGTTTGTATCCTACACCCTAGCATACTCTACACATTTCTCAAATAACCTTGACGATAATCTTATAATAATCAAGTCATAATTGACTGTTATTGTAAAAGTTGGATCGACCCTAATATTATAACTGGTCAATGGAAAATTTCTAGCCTTGAACGCAACAAACTCCTATCCTTCATCTCTGCGTATAATAATTATTTGAGTTGTGTCAAATACTCAATAAGTCGATGATAATAATCTCAACCTCATCCGAGAAGAATTTCTTGAAGTTACTTACATAACTTTTTGACATGAATGATGAATGATACTATTGTTAATGGGAAAAATAATTTCTAAATTTCTTTATTGCATAGAATAGCATCTGATGACTACTAAATCAAAATACTTTGAACATATTTTCACTCTCTCTTTGATACATGTCAATATTGAACAATTGTAAGACTTCTTCTTTTTTTTTTATTGCCATAGATACAAAAAGAAGGTTAACAATAACACAAACAACACAACATGATAAATTCTCGTTCTCAAAAATTTGTAAATATAAGCATGTATATACAACTTTGCACGATAAATTCAGATCATTATGATTATCATTACCACAAAAATCTCTACATACATGAAATATTGCCATTGGAATGTAAAAAGAAAAAAAAAAACTAGATATAATAAGATCAAAAACTTTGCATCAGTTAATCAATAAAATACTTTAACTAAAATTAGATCATTGCTTTTTAAAAAGTTGGTTGTTGACGAGTAACGTTTGTTGTGGTTGTTGTTGTATTTGATGTATATGTTTCTGTATGTCGGCTACGTGGACCAGCTCGAAGTAATCGAAAACGATTAATTGCATCAGCTACATAGGTAATAAAAGCTGCAAAACCAAAGAACTATAAAAAAGAAAGAACCAAAACTTTAAAAAAAAAACTTTTTTCTTCGGTTCAATTGATGATTTACCGCTGCAGCTCCATAAACACCATTATATTTTGCAACTGATGCAACAACAATGCTTGCAATAAAAAAAAGTAAAGCAATCAATGCACACCAGGACATTTCCTAAATTTAAATTCAATAAATTAATTTCATATTTTTTATAAACAAAAAAAAAAAATAATTTACAATAACAAGCCAACGATCTGGTATACAAACAGCTTGTATATTTATAAGAGCCAATAGAAAAAGAATTGTTGTTATAATAATTGCTAATGCAGCAACAAATGTAAAAAAACCTTTATGACCAGTAAAAGTTATAGTTGGTGCTACTGCACCCAATATTAATGCAGCTGCATCACAAATCTAAAGTTAATAAAAAAAAAAGAATTTGTTTTTTTTCTTAACAAGGAAAAATGAATATATTCTTTTTACAAATTCAATTGCTTTCAATATGCCAGGTATTGTACTAATGTAACCATATTGACAAGATATTCGTTGTGGTCGAGTACCGTAATCCATTTTTTGATATGTTTAAAATCAATATGAAAAATAACAAAAATCTATAAAAAAAAAAAAAAGAAGTTTATAGCAGTATTTCTAATAGCATATGTATCAAGCAGAAGCAAAATATACAGAAAATCTACTACTTTCGATATACATGCTGCTTTATATTTTTTTTCATAGAAGAGTACAATGTATCAAGTACATATGGCTGCATAAAGTAACATTTTATTTTCAAGATAATCATTTGTATTTTTTAACAGAAAAATAGTAAATTTTATTTTATTTTAAACAGATTTCGTTATTTTTTTTTTCTTCTATCCCCAAATCTCTCTTTTGATTATATCAAACAAAAATATATTTTTCGTTTCACATCTTTTTTAATTATCGTTAAGTATTCTTGTCAAATGAAAGAAAAATGATTTTTTTTTTTGGGTCGAGATAAGCTACATATACACGCTACATACAATATTGTATGTAACTTATCCTTAGCAGTTTGAACCAATAGAATCACGATCCATTTTTTACTTTCGTCTATCCATCAAATGTTTGACATGACTTGTGTGTTTGTTGTATAAAAAGAAATAAGATTTGTAAAAGACGAGCTACTATTTTATAAAGAATTTTCCTATATTATTAAGATTAATACTAATACCATCTAATATAAAATATTACTTTCACTAAAATTGGTAAAAAATGACGGTCTTAGAAGAAACAAAAAATTTATTTTGAGCTGAGTCTAGTTATCGTTCTAAATTGAAAATAAGCAAAAATATGTTTAAAACATATTCGAAATCATTTGTTATGATCTTCTAATAATAAAACTGTGATATATCTGGGATAGAAACTAATATTTTTCCCCAACAAAATAAACAGATCATTATTGAATTACGTATCATTATGAAATCATATCAGCTTCTTTGCAAATTTCGGTTTCATGAAAACAGAACGAAAATTACTTCGCTAGAAACAATTGTAAAAATTGAACAAAAATTATAAATTATCGCTGACGGATATAGTTAAGTTACCAAGCAAAATTTCAAAAATCGACTTTTGAGCTAGAAACTTTCGTTCTTTTTATCCGTCTTCGAACGAACAAATTTTTATATAATTTTTGTTCTATGATCTTCTTTGTTCTGATTCAGGAGCATCTTTTCAAATCTGACAGATGCTATTCAATGAGAATTAAAAAGACGAAAGAACAAAAATGTTAAAAAATTAGACATTTTTTTTCAACTATAATCAAATTAATCTGGCTTTATTTAATTGATGATCTATTTTCATGAAAATGTTTCATATAAAGTAAAATAGATATTTTGCATTATTCATAGTTAATCTTTTTTTTTTAATGATTTTATTTATGTCATATTGATGTCAAAATAGTGGCAAAATTTTTTCTTATACATTCATTTTCTGATCTTTAAATACAAGCGTATATAAATATTCTTGTCTCGAACGCCCTCTTTTTCATATCGCAGAGGCTCCATGTCATTTTATTGCAATGGAAAAAAAGTGTATGTACGTCAAAGTGTATGTAGATTATCTCGACCTTTTTTTTGTTTCTTTTTCTTTAATATATTTTCTATAAAGTTTTGTCAATGTATATTTTAACACATTCGACTTACGAAAAGAAAGTTGTAAACGAAATGTGAAAAGATATTTTATTCTAGTTTTTCATTACAACATGATGATTTATAGTTTATATGAAGATAGTAAAGCATTAAAAAAAACAGAGAATAGTATATGACTCAAAAGAGATTAAATGTAGGATTTCTACTTTCATATTTGCTTACTTTTTTTTTTCGTCAAAAATCAATACAGAAATGCAGTTGAATGTGTGTGTTCTATTTGACAAGCAAGTGATACAAGAACGAACGATAAAAAGAAGAAAAAAGAGAATATTCTAACAAAGCTAATGGTACGACCTCTTTACAAAACAGCTGGTGATCACACACATACATATACGTCTGTATATATATATATAAATATATAGATATATATATATATATATATATATTACTATTGAACAACGACTGATCAGACTTGTTAATAGAGACAAAATGTCACGTTACCTTGAATAAATAGAAGCTTCTGTTAACATAGACAAAAGAAAAAGAAATGAGCCAACTTATCTTTTGTAAATTATATTTCTGTAGTTTAGCTTCGAGTTTCTTTTATTATTGCATTTAAATCACTGACAAAAAGCAATGCAAAAGAAAAGAATGATTCAACCTATCATAGTTCTTTTCTCTTTTTTCTTGCGACTGAAAAATAGAACATAAAATATCCGACCGAGTAAAATAAGTCATTTATAAACAGAGATTCAATTGGTGTAAATTTACCAATCAAATTCAGTTGCTTTTAAAACATCTTTAGTTCATTTCAAATTCCACTTTTCCGTTTAAATAAATAGATTTATTTCTACAAATATGAACAAGTTCTTGATAGACATCTCTAATAAAATCCGAAGAAGATAAATATATGTCAGATTTTTTTTTTCCTTTCTAATCAATCGATGGTAGTTGAGTCAACAATGATACATTGAAAAGGAAGTGGCGCTTATACACCCCGCAGATTTTTTTTTCCCAAGGTTGTAGGTAGTATGAAGATGTAAAATCACCCAATCAGACCTTGGACATTTTTAGTCTTAGCAAAAAAAATCAGTATTTTAGAGAACGGCCATTTATATAGGAAAGTATTAGAAAATAGAGAGTATTTGGAGGTTTCTGTAGTCGAAAGTTGATTTTTATGTAAAATGAGTATGATATTCAGAATGAGCATGAAAAATTACACTAGACAGACAATTTTTCATTGTAAAATATTTTCCATGAAAATTTGACCCGTAGGGGACCAGGGGGAAAAATTTCATGGATAAAAGGTTGATGAAAAATAGGGGGTCAGATTTCCATGGAAAATATTTTACAATAAAAAATAGACTCTAGTGTAATTTTTCATGCTGATTCTGAATATCATACTCATTTTACATAAAAACCAACTTTTGACTATAGAAACCTCTAAATACTCTCTACTTTCTAATACTTTCCTATATAAATGACCGTTCTCTAAAATATTGATTTTTTTGCTAAGACTAAAAATGTCCAAGGTCTGATTGGATGATTTTACATCTTCATGCTATCCACAACCAAAAAATATTGAAACGAAAAGAAACCTTGTGGGGGGGAGGGTATAGCCTATGGAAAAAGCGCCACTACCTTCGTTAATTATTTCCTTAAAGTATCTCCACATTTTTCTTAAACTTAATATAATAATAAATAACAATCCATTCAAATAATGAACAAATAAAGTAAATGACTTAAAGACTGTTCAATGAAAATGTTATATTATCAGTTAAATAGGATTATTTTATTTTGTTAATACACGTTATGTAAATGATATTTATTTTTAAATGCGAAAGTTTTTGCTTAAGTTTTTCAACATATCTGAAAGCAATTTAGAAGAATAAAATTGTTGAATAGAAACAGAATCTTGTCTTGACAAAGAATAACAAAATCTTCGAAAAATATAGATATAGAAGTCGTCACTAATTTTCATGAGGGTATATGCCTAACAAAAGATAGAAACACATTAAGAATAATTTCTTTTCAGCAAACAAAATCTCGGTATAGTTTGCAAAGGAAACCATGCCGAAGGATAAATCATTTTTGATATGAGTCTTACTTCATTAGATAGACTCCACTAAAACGAGAGAGAGTCTAAAACGATTCTCATCCATGGATTGTTCTTGTTGAATTCTTGTTATTTTAGTGAATTTTTCAATAAAATGACATTATTCCTCTTTGATCATCTTCAAGATTGTGTTTTAATGTTAAATTTTGCATAGATAAAATTTTTAATAGTACTAATGTGTGTCCAAAAATTAAATGGTCGTGGATATTTTTGAGATAACTCAAGAACGAAAAGAGTTAGAGAGTTGCGGTTTTCACCATTATGTGAGTACATGAGTACTCTATATATTTACTAAGACATGCTGAAAATTCTGGCAGATTCAGAGTTTTATCAGCGTCAATCTTTGAAAGAGTATATTGCAGTTTTTTAAAGTCTCAAAAGGATCTATATATCTGAACTATGTAGAAGATATCCTGGAGGCTTCTCTACAAAATTATGCAAGGCCCACCTTTCTAGATTTTATAGTTCTCAAATGACATTCATTTTCCTAAAATCTATGACATTCATTTTCTTCAATATGAGTAACGGTAAAAATTCCCAACAAAATACATAATAAACAAGGTTTTATCTCGTAGTAAACTATTATATGAATGATAAACAACAACATCGTATACGCGCAAGTGAATCGGAAGCTATGTTTGCTGGCCTTTTCACAAAGCTATAATTCAACAATAAAACGTCATAAAAAACGAATCCTACATATCATAAAAGTCAATATTGTCGGAAAAGAAAAGTATTGAAATTATTCATAGTCAGTGGCGTAGCCAAGGGAGGGGCAAATGAGCAATTGCCCATTTCATTTGGAGATTTGCCCATTGTAATTTTTATGCGTCAGTTTTTGCCCATTGAAATTTCACTTTTTCAGAATTGTTTATTTATTTTTGAATTAGATAATAACTCATTTTCTTTTCTTCCGTCTGAATCACACATGCATTTTTGTTTGTTCTTTCTGTGAAGCATGAAGAAAAGACTCGCTTCTGGTATTTTCACCAGAGTTGCTAGATGAAAAACTTAAAAATCAGAAATTCTTGTTTTTAAAATCAGAAAAAAATTAGAATTTTTTTCTGAAATTGGAAACTAATCATAAAGAGTAACTTTTTGCAAACCAAGGACTATCATGTTGACATACTTGCACAAAAGGCTTCACGTTTTTTTTTGTTTATCGGCTCATACTTTGTTTTTAAAAGCATTTCATAGTAAAGAAAAACAACACAACCATTATATAGCTTAGAGTAAAAGATCATATACTGTAAGCTTAGGAGATTGATCACAGTTGGATCAAATGAAGACTCTCACTATCAAACTAACTAATTAAAAATATGCGCTGCCAGTAGCGTACACACATTGAGAAGAAGTTTCCAGTTTGTTACATACCCTCACTACTAAATTTCGTCAACGCTTAGTTTTCTTTTTTTTCGTCATGGTTGGATGGGACACAACCATTTACATAAGAAAAAACAATATCATGCATATCAAAAAGCAAATTCAACAAAGTCTAAGATAATTTTTTTTTAATTATAAGGGTAATAAACAAAAAATTTTAATTGCTGTCAAATTGCTTTTGAATGTGAGTAATATTGCTTCTTCCTACGTCAATAGTCGTGTTCCATCCAACCATGATGGAAAAAGAAAACTAAAGGTTGATGAAATTTCGTACTGTGGATACATGACACATTGTAAATGTTTTAAAATTTAAACAATTCTGTCTGTGTACACTATTGGCAGCTCATGTTTTAAACTAGTTGTTCCGTATGTGAGAGCATTCATTTGATGCGACTATGATAAATCTCCTTAATTTGCTGCAGCATGGTCTTCAGTTGTTAGTTAATACAAAAAAAAAAGTCAGGAAAAGACACCTAGTGTCGGATTCTTTTACAAAAACCAAAACTCTGTTTACGAAGAATATGCACAAAAAAATCATCTAGATAAACAATGCAGATCAAAAAATCTTACGAAAAATAATCAAAGTTATAGAACATAACTTCTATATTATTTTTCAAGTTTTTCTTCGTTCAAAATTCTTTCAATAAATGTTTTTGAGCTAAAATATGTTTACAAAATCGTTCAAAAAAAAAATTGGCATTCACTATTCAGTTCAGCAACGCAACAATTTACTGATATATTAAAGCACTTAGCAGTGGCTGCAGAACCCAGAAACTACAAGAGATTAAGAAAGGAAAGAAGGTAGCGGAATACGAATCTATAATATTAATGGGTTGCACTCGTAATTAATTCCACTAGTACAGCCGCCATCTAAAAACGTCTGGAATTTGACAGCAAATCAGAAAAATCAAAAGATCAGAAAAAAATCAGAAAAATGTTCAAATTTCAGAAATTTTCTTGGCTTTTCAGAAGATCTAGCAAGCCTGATTTTAACTGTAAGTTTGGGTGAACGTGAGTTCGATTTTATTGGGAAAACACTATCCACGTAAACGTAGAGAAGGATAGATCAAAAAGAAGAGAATTAAGAGAACACACACGAACATATATATGTCTACACATATATACATCTAGAGTGACATATAGAAGAGAAAGAAGAAATCCAATGGCGTATATGTGGAAATATAAAGGAAAAAAAACCAATGTATGAAATGACGTAGTTCGTAGAGAATACGTCTATGTGTGTTGTACAGATACATATTTGAAGAATCCTCAACACTAACTTATGCATTTGTTTTTTTTACGTTATTAGTACTTTGTTGGGTGAAAAAAGTTTTGGCCTATCAATAAAAACCTTGCCCATTTTGCCCATTGGTTTTTTTCGACACAAGAGAAGTTTGCCCATTGGTCTAAAAATCCTGGTTACGCCGCTGTTCATAGTCACTATTTTTACTATTATCATCTCCATCTAAATCAGGATCAGATTCTTCATCATCATCGGTTTCAACTAATATTGATTCAATTGATTCAACATAATGATCAGCTTTTTTGAATGTAGCTTCATATTTTTTTACTTCTTTAAAAAATTCAACTGATGTTAATTCATCACATGCAGCTAACCAACTGCTAGTCACTTCACGAACATGATTTCATTTAAATGAAGTATTTTGATCTCAAATGTAATTTTTCATACCTGTAATTAGATAAAATACTGAATAAGATCCTTTGTATGTAATACATATATATTGTCTAAATCAATAGTTTGAATTAGTTCTAAAAGAACCAGTTAATGGAAAAAGAAACTTACAGACCCATGCTATCTCTATTGGATTTAACATATAATGCTTTATCGGTAATCTAAGAATTTCAACATCAAATTGTTCAGCTGCATTATCGACTAAGTACGTAAGTGAAGTTGGCCCCAGATTCGAGTAAATCCTGCCCCGATTCCCCCAAGAACTTCTTCCAAAGCTCCTATTCTTGTTCCAAGTAGAACTCGATGAGCTCTATCCAATGGTATTATTAGATTCTTGATAGCCCAAACTATATAGTCAAAAACTCCAAAATACTGTTTTTTTTCCATACATTCCATAAAACCCTTTCCGTAGATCCTGTCCCGATTCGCTTAAGAACTTGTTCCAATCAGAACTAGGGTGTGGGTGTGGATTTAAAGAGACAAACACTCATCTACAGATTTCATAGCCGTTTGATGATACTTCATTCTCATATATAAATCATCAATTAGTATTTTTACTGAATTGATTATTGATTCTTATCTTTGAACGAATATTTTAATTTAAAAATTGAAAATGGCCAAAACTCTCGTTCTACTCTATTGATAGCTCTTTTAAAAAAAGCTACAAACTCATATGTTTTCTAAGGTGAAAAAATTTGGCCACTTGAAAGGTTTCTTAACATACTCTTCTCCAAACAGTTTTGTGTCTTTTTAATCAATATTTAGAAGGCTTCGATGAGAAGAAGTTCAAGTTGAGTCAAAATTAATATAATATTCGAAATCCGCATAAAAAATGACTAGATCTATGTATAATTTAAAGAATTTCTGGAACTTTTTTTTTGTCGGAAAATTCATCCCTGACTATCTTCCGGAATTAGACGAAAAATGAATTTTCATTGAAACATTATTTAGACACTATAAAGATTCGTTAAAAGTTGTTTAAAGTTATTAGATGACAAAATAGTAGATATTTAGAAAATGAAAGCAGCATTTTTTAAAAGTTCATTTTTTAATCTGATCCCTGAGAAAGATCAGGGGTACATTTCTCGATGAAAAAGAAAGTTCTAGAAATTATTTAAATCGTACATAGATCAACTCAATCTTTTGTGCTAATTTCGAATATTATATAAGTTTTAATTCAAATTGAACTTTTCTAATCAAAATCTTCTAAATATTGTTCAAAAAGACGCAGAATTAAACTTAGAGAACGTTGTATTAAGGAATTTTTCAAGTGGTCCGAATTTTTTGACTTTGGAAAATATATGATTTTTTTAACTTTTTTAAAAGAGCTATCAATTGAGCAATACGAGAATTTCGATCACTTCAATTTTTAAACTATAGTACTTGTTGAACGATAAGAGTAGATGATAAATTTAGTAAATATTCTAGTAGTGTCTATTGGTACGTCGGACCTATGTCTCGTTAAATGAAACAATCAATTGATGTCTTATGAAGTTGAAGCTCCATCAAAGAGCTATGTAGCTCATAATTTTAATAGTATTTTGTCTTGTCTATTTATAGTGGCGTAATCAAGATAGGAGTAAGTTGGGTGGCGTACAACCACGGAAGCTATTTGCCCCGCCATCCAATAACTTGTAGACTGTTGTTTCACCTGTAAATTATTCTCGCAGCCATGTATGTTACAAATGACATGTAAACAAATTTTTGTGAAGCTGACTTTACAAGATCAATATTTTCATTAAAATTCAGTCACATGATGAAACTTTTTACTATTCAGTTGTAATAGAATCAATTAAAAGTACTTGTCGTTAGGCGAGTGAGCCTCTCGTACTAATGTCATCACTATCATTCATGATAATAGAACTTGACAGAAAAATCGATATTTGTCTCACAGATACCAGTCTGTCCTTTCCACAAATGAATCTCCAGCTGAGTCGAAATTATCTTTAAACAGAATAGACAAAGATAAGAATTAATTCAATTTACAATCATATTCAATGTTTCCATCATTAAGATATTTAATAGTAACAGGTGCTGTTTTTAATTATTATTGTCATTGCTTTAACCATAGGGTTTGATTTATTAAATACAATAAACAAAGTTTATTCTCTACATGACAAAAATTTATTATTAGATAGTTCGTTTTTTTTTCGTAAAATTTCTTCTGATAATACTTATTTGAACTTATCATATACTGTTTTTGTGTAGTCTATAATTTTAATAGCAAAGTAAATCACCCATATATTTAAAATGAATGAAATAAATGCAACAGTATTTTTGAACTTTTTTTTCTCAAAGAAAAAAAAATACTATTGTCATCTTTATTGTACAAATAAACTTTTAAAAACTAGTCGAACGGCCCCTAACCGCCCAAAGATTTTTAGTTACACAGCCACTTACTTATTCCCGAATTGAATCCACGATGATAGTATGAATTATTAGAATAATAACGAAAAATGTGTTACTTTGTTGATAGGTTTTATGTTTCTAAATTCGATCAAAACCTCATGAAACTAATATTAAAAATGGCGATTTCGACATACTCTTTCGGTTGATATATGATTTCATGAAGTTAGATAAGAAAAATACTAGTGAACTGATTTGATCTCTTATACTTCTCCTCTCTTCTTTTGTAAGGTCAATGTATATCTATTAGATAATAATAAGAATACAATATTTTCTTGGAGCTTCTTATATTAAATTAATAAACTGATTCCAATTTATCCATGTGACGAATATATTCTATAAAAGAAAGTAGAATATTAAATAATTATATATGGATACACTTTTCATAAACATTTGATTCAAATATTGTTAAATAATGTAATTTGATCTAAAAAAAAGTACATTGTTATTGTTTTTTTTAATTTGCTCTAATAATAGTCATTCATACATGTTTTAGTCATTAGTAATTGGATTCATTGTTAACACATGTTACGAAAAAAAAAAATTTTTTTTCTCTAAATAGATATTGTTTTCAAAAAGAAAAGAAAAAAGAAAATCATTGATTTATTCAGAATTTTTATTTATAAAAATCTTAATATGAATGTGATAAGACTTATTGTCTTATATTAGAATATTTTATGAATATATTTCTAATGAAAGCTGAATGTATGTAGATAATGATGAACTTTTCAAAGGAAACAATTTGGTAGAAACTTGTCATTCATTTGCATATAGATAACATTAGAAAAGAATATGAAAACGATTGGATTTGTCTTGCATTAATGGTGTTTTCAAGTTTTCTTTTTCGATCAAATCAGTGAACGTACTACTAACTAAAAAACAACAACGAATTAACATTTTCTTTTTTTTTTTATATGAGAAAAGAGGGACGATAGATTATTCTTTGTTAGCTTAGTAATAATGTGAAAAGAGAGTTCTACAGGAAAATATTTATCATCATTCAATGCATTGATGTCGATGTTTCCTGTAGTTAGTTCGGAGAGATGATCGTTACAAACCAATGTTGATGAATGACAATTGCGATTTTTCTCTTTCTATTATTCATTAGCATTTATTGCCTTGACGCGTAAATTTTGCGAAAAAACATGTCTCTTTCTTCTTCTTCTTATCCGGTCTTGCTCAATCAATTGTCTCTGTTATTGCACACGCACAATAATTTACTTGTTCTCTTTCATGTTAAAGTCGTATTATTCTCATGATTTCTATTTTGATTAGAATATATAAAAAAGCAAAAAAAAAAAAAAAAAAGAAAAGTTGGTTGCTCGCTTTCTTTTTCTTTCGAGACTTTTATGTTCATGATTTGCAGTTATATTCATCCAACCATTTATCTATTTTATACTCTGCATCCTCTTTTTTTCTTTGTTCTATGGTGCCGAGCAAATAAGTTCTTGACATTAGAAAAAAAATAGAACGACCAAGAAAAGAAAACGGCTCGATTCGACATTACTAACAAAATGACGTATGCGTTTTCCGCGTCTTCATCATCGTCATAGATAGATAGATAGAAAAAATAATCTATCAACTCACATACACATACATATAAGCATTTCGCATCATTGTATGGCTTTCTCATCGTTCGCTCTTTTTCTCTGTTCCCATCATAGCAAATATAAAGCAATGTAAAAAAGCATGGAATAGACAAAAAAAACATGGTGGTTCTAATATCGACGAACGATGAAGACAAGAGAACGAGAAAAAAAAGGGGGAGGGGAGGGGGAAAGGAGGATAAAAAAAGTGCCACGCATAAAAAAAGGAAAGAGAGAATGACGAGCGAATAGAGAAGCAAATGCATTTTTTTATAATACATACGTTTGTGCGAATGTCCACGATATATCATTTTCTCTTTTTTTTTGTGCTTGACAAGCGTTCTCGTCTATGTTCGTTTTTTTCCTTTACTATTAGACCATCTGTTGCATATGTAGAAGCAAAAAAAAAAAGAAAAGAACGAGAAAAAGAACGACTCGACTAGCAGCATTAAGGCAAAGTAGTATCACATCTATCCAAATTACTCTTTCTTTCTCCCTCTCCATATATTCGCGTTCTACTGAGTTGATTAAAGACACTAGTATGAAGTGATGGAATCACTAGTACTCATATAAAATGTTTGTAACAATTATCTTTTTCACGTAATAATAAAAATAACAAAGGAAAAGGTAAGGAATGTTAATCAGAGACCAACAAAAATTGTGTATGTGTCCTTTTTGTTTCAGTAATACAAGCAAAAAAAAAAGAAACAACGGACGGCAACGATCGGAAACAAATGAGAGTTCATCTCAAGAGACTAAAAGAGAAGCAAGCACATTTTTTATTCTTTACCATTATCATTCGTCGTCATATTTACGCGCGCGCGCTCTTGCCGATCACACGTTATGTTGTCAACATCGTCGTTTTTTTTATTAGATAAGTGACATGCGAACATATAGTAGTGACTGTTAGTAATATTGTATCGCACTATTACAGGCATATTCAACAAGATAGAAATGAATCTGATCGTTCCGTTGTATTTGTCTATACATTTTCTTTTTCTATTCAATAAGTATTCTAAAAAAGAAAAAAGAGATCTTTTCTTTATCACATACATATATTATTCTGTGTACAACACACTACTAAGGAAGACAATTAATAATAAGAGTAGTAGGAAAGTATATAGAAC